TAGGCAGAAGGGCTTGGTCTATATGCTTGCTGTCCAAGGACTGGCACTCTGCCTCGATGCTTTACGATCATTCAACCTTGCTACAAGAAATTGGGAATTCTGGATCATGCTGTGTTGGTTGTTGGTGTGGATTACATTATTGTAGTGGTGACACTGTGTCACCAAGACAATACGGGTTGTCTTGCATGTCTCCAGTTGTTGCCATGCTGCCTTTCTAGCACCTGCTGTAACTGAGAAGCAAAGGGGCCAGAAGAATGGAGCTGTCCTGCAGTGTCTTTGTGCAGCAGAACTGCCCAGTAAAATACATTGTTTGATCTCTTGACTGCTGCTCCCTGAGCATTGATTGTAGATCCAAGCACATGAAATCCTTGATAACCTGAATTTTTTTCTCCATTTAGTATGATTTTTATCTATTGGTCCAGTTGTGAGGATCTTGGTCTTAGCATTAGTTGCAGTCCATACTGAAGACTGCAATCCTTGTTCTTCATCAACAATTGCGTCAAATCCTCCACTTTCAATAAACAAGCATGTGTCTTCTGCATGTCACAGGTTGTTAATAAGCCTTCCATCAATGTTCGTGCTGCATTCTTCTTCACATGGTCCGGCTTCTTGGATTATTTGCTCACCATACAGACTGAATAATTATGGTAAAGGGTTGCAACCCTGAAACACACCTTTTCTGATATTCAACTATGCAGCATGCCCTTGTATTGTTCAAACTCTGGACCATGTACAGATTTCTTGTGAGCAACATGAAATGTTCTGGAGTTCCTATTCTTGTCAGTGTTACTCACATTTTGTAATGACTCACACAGTTGAGTGTTTTTTCATAGTTAATAAAACACGGTATCTAGTATCAACAATTATATCCCTATTCCATGCCCTCTTCTAGATCTTGATTGGATATTTGGCAGCTACCTCTCAATGTACCACTGCGACTGTTAGGCAATCTTCAGCAAAAAGTATACTTGCATGTGATATTATTCTTTGATTTCCACTTTCTGTTTGGGTCACTTTTCTTTGGAAATGACACAAATAATGAATTTCTTCTAGTCAGTTGAACAGGTAGCTGTCTTACAAATTTCTTGGCATAGATGAGTGAGTCCTTTTAGTATTCATCAGCTTGTTGAAATATTTCTATTAGTAGTCTGTCAATCCCTAAAGTCCTGTTCTGTC